TTTTCCAGAAATCGATAAAATTTACAAAGTAAATTTATTCATAATCAGCACTCTCACTTACCCCCTTATACCAACTCTCAGCCCCGCAGCTCAAACTTCCCCAAAAATCGATAAAGTCGGTCGGTCAGCATCTAGTCTATACATCAGCAAAAAGTCAGATTTTACCCATTATGGACGATATAAAAAGCAGTCGATATATATAAATTTTTATGCTGTGCCCAAAAGATTCTTCTTCAGATGGCCTGAAAGAGACTGATGTACACCAGAATTAACTTTATTTCTTATCAGCATCAACAATGTAAAAGCAAAGGGCTTGCTCTACTTTCTACATCAATTAAAATCCACATATGATTTTTTTACTGTCGCAAGCAATCGAAAGAATGCGACTCTCCATACAGTTCAAAGGTATAACGGTTGCAAAAGATGCATTACGAGTTTTGCGAAAAAAAAAGCGGACGAAGTGAGCTTGATACTCAGCAGTTGGCTCTACAACAAAGTCGAATAATCTGAATACGGAGTCATTCGAATACGAATTCGAATGAACTTTCGAATAAAACATTTGAATAGAATCTATTCGATACCCCGTTTTTTGATTATTCGAGTTTTCGAATAATATTCGAAACCTCGTTTTTTGATTATTCGAGTTTTCGAATTTTATTCGAAACCCTGTTTTTTGATTATTCGAGTTTCGAATATTATTCGAAAATGGAAGAACTCCGAATATCGAATTTCGAATACGAATATATTCGAATGTTTTATTCGAATGATCGAATTTCTATTCGATTCGGACCCAAGTATAGGCACTAGTAAAGAGCAATGCTATTAGGCTGTCCGGAAATTAATGCAGGTTTTGAATTTCAACCGCAGTAAAACATACACTTCTCATTTCTAAATAGGTTGCAAAGTATCATCCGATAGAGCAAAGCAAGCTCTACAAGATGGCCATCTTGCTTTTGCAACAGCTTTGATCCACTACGAGTTTCGAGCCGAAAACTAAAAAGACTCAGCAGCCCGAAAAATCGAAAAAAATCGTAACTCAGGTCATAAAAATCCTACGAAAATTCTAACTTGCTCACGTAAACACTGTCCACATAAGACATATATTTATGCCGTTGCCGTATTTCTTCCTCTATTAGAAATCGAAAAAAACGAAAATGTTTATGCTTTTGCCAAAGTGATGCTGTGTCGTCCCCACATAAGTAGATGTGTACTACAAATCTGTAGAAGTACAAACGTAAATTTTCAGCTCTCTACAAGCTTTAGTTCTCGAGAAATATCGAATATAGCCTTCATTAGTTAGGTGGTCCAAGCTAAAATTCAGATTTCTCGAGAACTAAAGCTTGTAAAGAGCTGAAAATTTACGTTATTACTTCTACAGGTTTGTAGTATACAATTACTTATGTGGGGGCGGCACAGCACCACTTTGGCAAATGCATGAAAATATCCGTTTTCTTGATTTCTAACAGAGAAAAAATACGGCAACGGCGTATATGGATGTCTTATGTGGATTGGGTTTACGTGAGCAAGTTAGAATTTTTGCAGGATTATTATGAACTGAGTTACGATTTTTCTCAATTTTTCAGGCAGTTGAATCTTTTCAGTTTCTGGCTCGAAACTCGTGGTGGATCGGAGCTGTGCTAAAGCAAGATCGCCACCTTGTAGAGCTTGCTTTGCTCTATCGAATGGTGCCTTGCAACCTATTTAGAAATGAGAAGTGTATGTACTGCGGTTGAAATTCAAAACCTGCATTAATTTCCGGACAACCTAATAGTTAATCCACAAATCGCAGAAATGAGGCGCTTTTCAGTCTCAAGAATGAGTAAAGTGTACGCGATCATGAGCCCATTAAACGGAGAGTAGAAAGTGTACGTTCTAGTAAGCCAGTTTTCGGAGAAAAAAGCAGATTGGCAGTATCAAAAGAAAAGGAGGGAATAAACGCGAATGCAATTTTCGCTCAATACATTCACGACAATACGACCCACCGGTGGGTCGTACGTGTTCTACCACTTCGGACAATGACCCACGGGTGAGTCGTAAGTTTGACAAAGAAAAAGGCTCTGATCCGGAACGGCAGTAATTGAAAAATTGGTCCTTTTGTGAATGTGTTGAACTGCGAAGTTTTCCTAAATCGATAATAATTGTCTGAAAGCTAGCCACTCTTGTCACAAATGACAAGATTGGCAAGCTTCCCATTTTCCAATGCACTGAAAAGGATGTAGAAGGAAGAATGCCACTAATATTGCGGGGGTGGTACAGAAAATCGAATAAATTGCAGTGATGTTGCTCGGGAAGATACGAACCGTCTCATAAAAACAGATCAAAAATTACAAGCAAACTTCCAAGCTAGAGAAGTCTTTGTAAAATTATTGATCCATCAGATAGGGAAAACAAAACAGTTTTTGTTGGGTGCAGAACAAGACCATTCCCAAAGATTATAGAGTTTATAGACATGCATGGGAAATTTTCAAAATCTTCAAAATTTTGAACAATGGAATAATTTTGTACTCCAAGAATTTTCATAGATTTTATAAATCAGAAGTTTGACAAATGTTCGCACTTTGCTTTGAAGAATACTCAGGTTTCAAACATCTGAGGAATCCAAATTACTCAATACGCTTCATCAGACGACAGTTTTCTCTTAGCAGAGTGGAGACTTATAACAGAGCGCAGTCCTGTGTCAATTTTAATTGATCTAATGAAAAAAAGTATTACTTCAAAAATACTAGCATGTGAAAAGCTAAAAAAGTGAAAGAGACGAGCCAATTTATGCTGATCACTAAAAGCACTAAATCGAGAAGACATAGAGATGTTTTTTTTTGTTTTTTGTTTTTTGTTCTTGGTTTTCCATAATCAATACTGCAATCTTCGTTAGAATTTATAAGAAAATTCTAAAGTGACTCGGGAAGAATTGGTTTAATATCAACCGGAGTATTGTATGAATCTCGCGCTCTTGAATTTTTTAAAGTCTGCAAAAATTTCTAGTCACCAGGACAAATCCATGCGAGGTAAAAGTTGTTAAATGATGCTCAAATCAAGTTCTCACATCTGCTACCGAAGTGTATTAGGCGGATACGGTAATGACACTTGAATGGGTGTATTTGATGATACAAGATGGATTACATAACAAAAGCATGCAGACATTTAACGCGCTTTAGGCTAAGAACTCACCACGGGCCAGCGAATGCTGATGGGAACTCGGCATTGCAGGGGAAGTCATTGGGTGTGATGAAAGGCGTTTGAAAGTGAATGTAATGACAATCCTTGTAGTGTTTCTTTTCCGGAAAATGAACTCCAGTACAAAAAGAGAGTTGAAGCTCGCAAGAATAAGTAGCGTTCGCTAGAAAGGGATTTTCTTGTATTTTCAATGAAAATTTTGGAAAGTACCCTTGCAACAGCCTGCACCATCATCCCGGACAACTGTCACATCACGGATTTTGAAGCGAATCGTCGAATAGTCTGTCACCTGTAAGAGCAGGGGTTCTTGGATTGGATTCGATCAGTGGTAACGTGGGGTTGCGCAATGTTCGTGCAGGTATGTATCAGTTAGTCTATTCGAAGACATAACAATCAGCAATTTCGAGGTCCTTCGAAGCGGTGAGTATACTGTAATTAGCCCATAACCCGCGTTTGCTACAAAGAACTATACATGGGGTAGCTCACAGTGTTGCTTGGGTGAAAGGAGACAGGTTCGTTCGTTCCACTGGTAAATTAAGAAACCAATTTTAATTTTAGAAGACGATTGTTTTCTTGGAGTAGCCTTAATGATTCGCAACTATTTTTCAAGCTAGCATATCCTTAGACAAGTAGATTCAATACGGTTTCCACCCTTTCAAGATTAGAACCGTAAATCCTATATGAAAAGTCCATGTAAATTTATTTTTCTGGAATCAGCGCCTTCAAATACCCCACCACAAGTTTTAGATCCTTCGATTTTTCGAATTGCAGCTAATTTACGAAAGCGCCTTTATGTTGAAAATTCCTACCGTAATACTACAGTGAGAGAGAGTGATCAGTGTTTCGCTTCATACCTTAAAATGCTGAAGCCAGCCCTACAAGTGGTACATAAAGAAAGTCGAAGGACATCAGAAAGGAGGTACATATTCTAATCAAACGTAGAGAGATTTTTTGGGGCACTCTATCAAACATAGAATTTGTAAGTTTGTTGTGAACTTGAAAGAAGTCTTGACTTGAGCGAGGAATAAGCGTTTTGTGCATGGAACACAGGAGATCATTTTACGAAAAATTAGTTTATTACAGCATCTTTTGTGCTTTTCTAAGAAGTAAGTTGTCTAGACGTCATTTAACAAAAAAATTTTACGCATAATTGCTATTATACAATTCAGAGCCCAAATATATGAATCGCACAAAAACCACAACATATGTAAGAGTTTACTTGCCTTTAAATAATAAGCAGATGCCACACGAAAAATATGGAACACGTACTCCAACAATAAAATTTGCAAGACAGTAAATATCATTAAAATAGTGTATTTCTGTAGGTTATATACATCCCGTTTGCGTATAAGCTCCAAGTACGACTAGACTGTAATTTCCTCTCAAAACTCCGTGCTGCTCTTTTGCCATGGTTTACAAGGAGAACGATTTTGACCAGTGTCATAAGTGGGTGGCGAAGATGAAGATCTTTCTGAAAAGCAATTAGCTTGCGAATTCGCCAGAAGCGTTTCAGCAACACTAGCAAACTGCACATGCATGGTGTGTGTAACTTGCGTGGATTGATAGAATACCCTATCTTCTGTACATTAAAACATGCTTACACTGAGTTGATAGTTGGATATTGCCAAGTCGCGTCGTGACTGAAATCGCCTGAAATTTGCCCGTCCCTTTGGCTTACTTTTGTATTTTATATTTTACTAACTTTAAGCTTCAACAATTACTGAAAGTGAGCGTCTCATAATGTGACATCATTCAGTACCAGTATATGGTTAAGCCCGATAGGAATAGGGTGAAAATGGTCTGCAAAACGACTTTTTCATATAAAATTATGTTGGCTCACTTTCTAGATATTCACAATGTGTCCCACTGCGATCAAGGGGGCATTCACATTCAGGCGCTCTGCCCATTACGCATACTCCCATTCCGCAGTCAAGCATCGTGCAGTCAATTTCTTTCTGAAAAAAATTATAATTTTTATTGTGAAGATATGCATCAACTCAGTTCAAAGATATTTCACCTTCTTTTCGCAATTTTTGCCTTCGAAGTCTGCCGTACAGTTGCATCTGTATAGGTCTACACCGTTCGAAAGGCATACGCCACCGTTCTGGCACAGATCCTTGTGGTTTGAGCAATAATCCAGGTCACTGAAGTTAAATTTCTTCTCAAGTTCTAGAGCAGTATTATATTTGCTACGTACATATCGCATAATAGACCTCCCCAATTTTTCAGGCATTCACACTGATGAGCTGTGCGACAGTATCCATTTTGGCAGCCTGCCAGTGGCACGCATTCCGAGCAGGAAACGCCTTTCCAACCAAAGTCACATCTGCAATCAGAAAAATTGCAAGAAACAGACCTAGAGCAGCTCTTTTTATTCATAAGAGAGAATGACACGTGTTCGACATCACAGCTTGAGGAACCAAATTCTATTACTCATGGATTTTCCTTTTACTTATAGAAGCGGCGGCATGCAAAAACAACTCCAATTTTCTTCTTAAATTTCGCTGAATTTTTGCATGAAAATGGGTTTTTTCTGAGGTCATCACAGGTTACGGAAGGTTAGAAGTTCGAATTTCATGCGGGAGTATAAGACGATCCAAAAAAGTGGAAATAATACGATATAACATAGGGTGGAGGACTGTTTGTCGCCGAAGGGAGTGGTTCCACGCGGACATCTGCGACAAAGAACGCAGCTCCACATATTACAGACATAACGGATTTGTACCGGCTGTCCGCTCGGGGTGGAGCCTTCGGCGGCTAGTCCCCTACTCACCAGTATGTATAAGGGCCATTCGAAAATTCAAAAAGATTTGGATTCATGGAGATTTCCACACTATACACCTCTCGCATTTTCGCTCAATGAATCCAAACTTATCGTACAAACGACTCATGATCTTCATGTTGTAATTCTATTCTCGCCGAAACGATGATTTAGCGCTTTTTAAGATTTCGTATAGTGTTAACAGCGCCTCGTACCATGATGAAACATAGTTGATAGTTTATTGTGGAGAAAGGTTTATAGTTGACAAAGCAGTGTGGATCTCCAATCCTCTCTTTTTCGGCTTAGATATGCTACAAATCTACAGGTAAATTGCTCTTGAAATGAAGCTCAGTTAGAGTTACTCAGGAAGGAGGCCGCTCACCTGCATGTGTTTGGGCCAATGCAGGTCCCATGGACACAGTCCTTTTCGCACTTTGGTTCATTACAGAGCGAACCAGTCCATCCAGATTCGCAGATCTTTTTTCCTTCGGGTGAGCACTTGAATGAACCGCCGTTCTGACTATATTTCTGTCATTGAAAATATTGTTAGAAAAAACCTTGTAGCGTACTCTTTGAATGTCTCGTTGCAAAAGATGGTGCAAGCTGGACTGTAGAAATTTGCCTCACACTCTACAGAAAACGAGAAACTGACTGTGACATTTTTTGCTTCCTAAAAAACATTTCTTGAAAAGGTTCTATGAGCGGACAGGGAAGACTCGCAATATTCATATCCGTAATAGGAGAGTGTGAACTGATGTTACGGAAGAAACGTGAGACTTCTAGTACCAAGTTTCCAAGTCGATCGTGTGCACTTACTGTCAGTTGCCATTCAGTCTAAAAAGTGGAGAAAGCATTACAGCATTTCAAATTGTAATTTTGTTTGGAGCAAGTATTTGGACAAGCTGCAAAACCTTTCTAAACAGCGTATCCATTCTTGGAACAAATTGGAGAGTTATGATGGATTTTGAACTAGCGACCCTACGGGTCGCTAGCAAGTGGGTCAGGGCAGATACAATATAAGGGCTTAGTTGTGACTAAAAATATTTCTGAATAAGTTTTCTGTTCTTTTCCTGAGAACATTTTTGCGAAAAGGATTCTACAAAAGGAAAACTGCTCGAAGAAGCGATAATCTCCACAAATCATTCAGCATTTCTCGAAATTCCTGCTACAACCATGCATGATATTATTCTTATCTAGTTTACACGCTCTTTATGCAAATCCCCTCCTCACAGAGACATTCAGATACCCCCCTCCCCCCACTTTTCTACCCCCTCAAAGAGAATTTGCTCTTTCACTTCTTCTCAACAAGTTCCATAAAAGTTCGTTAAAGGCAGTGGACAGGCAGAATGGACCCCTGTCAGATTTTGGTAGTTTCGGGTAGTAGACCCCCAAGTACATCACAGCCCCAAGCCCACCTTCCAATTCATGCGCTAAGTCCTGAAAAAGCGCTTCGAAATTCCACCAATAACGCCCACTCAATGGAAGTGGGCGGGGCTGGTGGAGTTTTGAAGCGCTTTTTCAAGACTTAGCGCATGAATTGGAAGGTGGGCTTGGGGCTATGATGTACTTGGGGGGTCTACTACCCGAAACTACCAAAATCTGACAGGGGTCCATTCTGCCTGTCCACTGCCTTTAAGTAAGTAGCAGAACATCTATCGCTTTGGAAGTAGAAATACACCATAAGAATTAGTGTACTACAAAAAATACTTTTCTCTCAGAATCAATTTCGACAGCAACGAAATCAATCGTCTAAGAACTTTGTTAAAGAATCCTTATTTTTTCGCTGAAGGAATATGAAGCTTTACTACAAAAGGGAGCCACCTAAAGACCGTCAATCATAAGAACTGCACAAACGTACATGAAATTTCTTTCCCTGTCCGATCAAACTGCCCTACGTGCCGCTTGAAGACCGTTCAAAAATTATAAGGACCGCCCCAAACATTCAAAAATCTGTTTCCCTGCCCGATCGGGTTGCCCTACGTGCCGCTTACAGACCGATAGTAACTATTCAAAAAGAAAGTTTATTCCCTACGTGCCGCTTGAAGACCGTCTAAAAATTATAAGACCTGCCCCAAACATACAAAAATCTGTTTCCCTGCCTGATCAGGTTGCCCTACGTGCCGCTTACAGACCGATAGTAACTATTCAAAAAGAAAGTTTATTCCCTACGTGCCGCTTGAAGACCGTTTAAAAATTATAAGAACTGCCCTAAACATACAAAAATCTGTTTCCCTGCCCGATCGGGTTGCCCTATGTGCCGCTTGAAGACCGTTTAAAAATTGCAAGAACTGCCCCAAACACACAAAAATCTGTCTCCCTGCCCGATCGAGTTGCCCTACGTGCCGCCTACAGACCGATAGTAACTATTCAAAAATAAAGTTTATTCCCTACGTGCCGCTTGAAGACCGAAAAAATTACAAGAACTGCCCCAAACATCAAAAAAATCTGTTTCCCTGCCCGATCGGGTTGCCCTACGTGCCGCTTATACAAACCAATATTATCTATCTAAAAGACAGTTCATGCCCTAAATGCCGCTTGAAGACCGTTTAAAAATTACAAGAACTGCCCCAAACATACAAAAATCTGTTTCTCTGCCCCATCGGGTTGCCCTACGTGCCGCTTACAGACCGATAGTAACTATCTAAAAATAAAGTTTATTCCCTACGTGCCGCTTGATAACCGTTCAAAAATTACAAGAACTGCCCCAAACATTAAAAAAATCTGTTTTCCCTGCCCGATCGGGTTGCCCAACGTGCCGCTTACAAACCAATATTATCTATCTAAAAGACAGTTCATGCCCTACGTGCCGCTTGAAGACCGTTTAAAAATTATAAGAACAGCCCCAACATGCAAAAATCTGTTTCTCTGCTCGATCGGGTTTCAACAGACTTTTGTATACCAAAACGGTGACAAGTCTTCCTCTCTTGCACAGCAAACCTGCAGAGAATACAGGGCCTAAATATCACTCATCTCAGATTTCAGTAAAATAAAAACAAATTTCCTCACTCATCTTTCGTTTGTTTTGTTAGTTCTTTCAGACGTTCCGTTACATCTGCTCATTTGTATCTGCTATTTGTACCTACAGGCGGATGTCATATTTGGAGTAAAATCTCTCTCACTGAGTGTTTTCAAGATACTAAACACCTCACACAGAAGAGTCGAATTTGTAATGAATTCAATTTTAGCTCCGATGTTACCGGGAATACGCTTGGCAAATTTCTACCTCAAAATTTTTTCGGCGATAACAATCTTATTAGAAGCAAACATCAAAGAACATAGAAGCACAAGAGAATGATGATCCAACTGCGAAAGCACTTCCGGTCAGATTAGATTCCCCTCTCCTTAGAAACCAAATCATCGGCGATGACAATCTCTTATTAAGATATTCTCGAATGAGAAGAATCCAGAACAACAGTTACTGGAAGAAATTCTAGAATGAACGTGGAAATTAGAACAGTTCCTAGGATGGTCAAAACTGCAGACGTGAAAAATAATGACGATATCGATCGAAAACACGCCCGAAACATGCCGTTATGCATGTGTGTTGTTTCAGTTGCCCATACTTACGAAATTTGGCACCGTTCCAAAGGCTTACGAAAATCTGGCAAATCGTGCCAACTGACTTACTCACCGCTAATGGCAGCAATCCAATTCCAAAGATCAGTGTATTTCATCGTAATTTTTACGTCTGCGGCCTCCTCGTTTGCCATGATCCAACTATCAGCGGCTTAATGGGTAAACAACGAATTCGTTATATATTACGTAGTGACTAGACCGATTGCATCACATGTCTACTGGTGTTGTGAAACACATCTTGCATTAGTGAAGAGCATTACGTTAACATAACACTCCTTAAAGGCAGCGTCCCACCAGACTGGGGGTATCTGGCTCTTGTAATGATGTGATAGTAGACCCCCTACCTAAGCGATGACTGAAGTTCGGAGCGAAAAACGGGGTCTACCAAGCCTGAAATTTGCTCCGAAAGTGGGCGGAATCTTACGGTAGGATCGGGCGAGTGCGAGGTGCATGCAAGGTAGAGACGCAGAGTGGTTGCGGGTCCCTGCACTCATGATGTGTGCGCTATACGCATTCTGGCCCTGCAAATCGATATTGCCGTGTGGGCGGCGTTCGGCCCTACCGTAAGATTCGGCCCACTTTCGGAGCGAATTTCAGGCTTGGTAGACCCCCTTTTTCGCTCCGAACTTCAGTCATCGCTTAGGTAGGGGGTCTACTATCACATCATTACAAGAGCCAGATACCCCCAGTCTGGTGGGACGCTGCCTTTAAAATATGCCACACTCAACTAATCGTAACCCGCACTCTTTGCTTTTGTTACCATTGTATATCAAAAAACTTTTTTTGTAAAAGTAGAGCCTATCATCTCCGAGAAAAGGATCTTGCGCAACAAGCTAAATTACATGGTGGGGCAAAAGTCTGAAAGCCTAGTACTTTTTCAGATAAAATGAAAAGGAAAGCGCCTAGGAACAAAAAATTCGGTGCACACATAAAGCGAACCTTCACAAATACAGCGCTGCTCTCAAATTTTGAGATTGCCTCTTGTGGCTTCAAAGCAGCCTTTCGAAATCTTGGCGAGTCCGCCTGTCATGGCATGCAGACAGTCGTGATGAGATTCGTCCCACGCCTTTACGATAATTGTTTCTTTCACCAGACAAATGTGCGTTGTGATAGAGTAAGCTTTTGGCTACAAAGCACTGCGAAAAAATTTTTCTGCAGTGTTTAGGAAGAAAATTTTGGAATTTTAATTGAAGGCAAGTGTACGGGTGGCGGACTTTATGAACGATAGCGCTAGCTTAGGCAGCCGTGTGTCAATAAGGTGCGCACCGCTAGCCCCACCTATCGCAGGATGGACGAGTTTTTTTTTTTGCAGTACAGCTCTTGCATTGTTTCATGGCCATCCTTAGTCAAGTGGAAGCAACTTCTTATTGTGATATAAGCTTGTTGCAAGCTGGGGTGAAGCTTGACTATTTACAGAACCTTGTTTTGATTTCTTGTTTCTTTTTTTTTGCCAGTCATGAACCTACTGTTTTGATCGTGAAATTTAAAAGATTTGCTGATTTGCCTATGAATGACCAAGTGACTTCTGGATTCCAACTTTGAAGTGTGAAATCATTCTGAAAC